TTTTATAAAGCGAGCGTGTGTTTTTTTGTTTGTTGATCTTTGAACAGACGACATCACATCACATCCTGGTTTTAGTTGATTTTAACATCTTACTCATCACTTTTAAAGCACGTCTGAGTGCTGGCCCCAAAACTTATATAGAAGAAATGTAGACCGCCTTAGATCCTCAGGTGGGGCCCTTCTGTCTGCTCCAAAGTCGAGGATGAAACCTAAAGGTGACCGTGCTTTTGCCTTCAGGACCAGTCGGCTTTGGAACCACCTGGCTGAGGATCCATCTATTGTTCTGTTTAATCAGGGTTTAACTCTCATCTTAGTTTGTTTTGCTTTGTTTAGGCTTCACTGTCTCTTTTTTAAAGGTGCTATGTAAAATAAAGTTATGGTTATAACGTTACATAAAAAGCAAAAGTGTTTGGATGTAAAGCTTTAATGAAGCCTGAGGAGTCTGTCAGAGCGGCCGGACCTCGTTCACAGGACACCAGAGAAGTGAAGCCGAGTCACCAGAAACTCTGCGGCCATTAATAATAAAACGCCGGTGTGCTTTTCGGAAATGACTCCTCTCTCTCTCTCTCTCTCTCTCTCTCTCTCTCTCTCTCTCTCTCTCTCCCTCCCTCTCTCTGGTTCCTCCTCTCAGAACAACACGTCCGACGCCTGCTGTCAGACCCGGCGGGAGTCCGACAAACGGAGCTCCAACCTGGACCGCCGGCGGGCTCGGTCAGCCGACCTGGAGAAGACGAGGCGGTCGCAGCTGACGGTGGTGGACGACCGCTGGATGACGGAGTACATGCGCTGCTACTCTGCCCGGCTGAGGTAGAAACGGGACCCCCCCCCCATGACCCCTGACCTCCACCACGTTTCCTTATCAGACGGTGGAACTGAAAACCATGTATGTCTCGTTAAAGTCCAATCAGGGTCCTTCAGAGTGAATCGCTGCTGTCGAAAAACAAACAACCAAGAAGTGTCTGAATTTAAAGTTTATGGTCATTTATTACTAAACTGTGTAATTTAAATATGAAGACATTCACCAAACTTTAAACAAGACGGGGTCCGTGATAGTGGACGCTTTGGATCACGGTTTAGTAATGAACTGAATCCCCATTAAATATCAAGTGCAGCTAAAAAACAACAGACATCTTTATATAATAAATGATTAAAAAGTCTTTATTTAACTTAGAAATATCATTAAAACAGCGTGAGGACCTACAGAGTTTTGTTTAAACTTCTCTCCGCTGATAAAACACACATTTTTGATACAAAATCTGATTTTAAACGATAAGTATTTTCATTTCAAGTTACTATTTCCTCTTAAAATACACTTGTCAAGGGTTGATTGCAGTATTCTGCATTGTTCAAAGGCCCTTCATACTTAACTGCCTAAATGTGTTTGTTTTGCTCGACAGCAGCGAAACAAACTGAACCGGAACAGTTCGGTTCCTCGGGTGTGACGGACTGAAGCTGTTTGATAATGAACAAACATCGGAGAGAATTGACTCTTTCTGAGCTTTTTGAATGTACTTCATTTATAAGCATGAAAGCCTCCAAACAAACTGCTTCATTTCTTTATCGTTGTTTAGTTTTCTTCCTCGCGAGGCAGCTGTGAGTGTTTATAACTCAAAGGCAGCAGAAACGGACCAAACCGGAGTATTTTTGATATTTGACTACTTTGGATGTCAAGTTTAGATTAGAATAAACTACAAAATAAGATTTATCAAATGACATGAGAAGTGTTTAAGAAGTGTTTTCTGAGTAGAAGCTATATTTAAGATGCGCTGCCTTTATAACAGTCTCAGATTTAATTGTGTTTTTCTTCATTGAGATGCAGCTTCTGGTTTACATTGATTTTAACGAGGAATACTCTGCTACGCTGACAAAACTTAATTCTCTTAATTCACATGTAAGACCAACAGATTCAATAACAGAAGGAGTCGAGCTCAACTTCTTGAGGGTGATTATGCAAAAGTAAACTCTTAATTTAAAGTTTCAGGGACTCTGTGAGATTAATTTAAATGTAAAACCATAATATTATTAATTCATGTTGCTTAAAACAGCTGAAGAGGAGTTGCTTGTTCGCCTGGAATGAAGACTGACGAATTAATAAACTTTTAATTATAAAGCAGCTTTACAAATGATTGACAAGAGGAAACTGGAGAGAAGATGAAAAGACTAATGCACACAAATTAAGAAAAGAAAATAAATGTTAATGAATAAATAGAATACAACACAGAGTACATTGATCACGGTAAAACAGTAAAGAATAAATAAAATAAGAGCGAAATGAAACATGAATAACATAAAACCTTAATATTCAGATAATTTAAAGCTTATAATGTGATGTATTTAATGAGTGATCTGCTTAAACGCCTCATTTACTTTTTATTTAACAGGTTTGTCTTCTTCTAGTTCAATGTTTTTTTTCCCTGTTAAATAAAAATGTTTTGAAAAAATCACATAATTTATAAAGAAATGAATGTGCTTGAATATCAGGGTGTCATTTTTAAATACAATAAATAAATAATCAGTGGTTCAAACATTAATTGTAAAATTATTGAGAAATTACAGTAAAATAATGTTTTTGTTGCAGTTTGGTGTTTAGATACAGCGACGGGATGAAAAGGGGAAAAAATAAACGTTTGTATGGAATATATTATAAGTTTTAATCGATTTTAACACCTTAGCGCCTTGTTGCGTTTGACGTTTAGACTTTATCTGTTTAATCAAACTGACGGACTCAATCACCGGTTTTTGACTGATCGATGAAACTAACGATTGTAAAAACATGCTGATGTCAGCGTCGCGTCCCGTGACTCAACCCGAGGGCTAAAGTTCACGATGTGTTTCTACTTGATGTACAGTTTGTGAGAATACTTTTGAAACTGAATGCATTTAAACTCACTGAGAATGTTTATTGATTTTAACACCGGCTGAACCTCGTCACTCTGAATGTGCAAAACTATTTGTTTATCTTTTTATTTAATATTATTCTTCATACTCAGAAGTGTCCAGTCTGAAACAACACAGTGCCGTTACTTTACTTTAACTACACGCACCAGTCTGTGTTGCTATTTATGTTTCTGTTCAAAGTTAAATCCTTTTGAACTCCTGATATGACTTTACTCACATGTTCGCTCTTTATCAGAACAGAAATACAAACATCCAACTCTGAACATTTGCTGTTTTTGGGGGAAATTTTGGAATATAGAAAATGAGAAAATGTAACGTTTGAAAGAAGATTACCCTTTTTTAAAACCATCAAAATAATCAAAATGGCCACAAAATATCAACTTCTTCAGGCATTTCAAACATGCTTTTCGTCTGGAAGTGAAACTTATATGTGGTTTTAAACTGGACACGCGGACGTCTTCACGTCTCTTCATGTCTTTACTTTAGTTCGTGGCTCTGATGTCTTCAGCATCAACAATCTGACCTTTGTTTCTGTGTCTGAGACTCGTGAAGCGCTGATCTGGTTTCACTAAAACGAGATAAAACCGTCAGTCAGAGCTGCAAATTACTTAAAAGAAGTCTTATCCTCTTTATATTTAAAGCTAATTAAAATCCTGACAGACTTACACATTCCACATCGGCTTATTTCCCTCCACAGAAGCTGTATTTCACTGAGTAAAACCTTTTGTTTCTTACAGCTTTCAAACATATTCGGCTTCTTTTGAAACTTTGGCAGCTCAACTAGAATTACTAGAAGCAATAAAAGGTTCGTGAGTTTGAACAATGTTTGGCTGCAGAGCGTAAGTTCAGGTCTTCAGAGGGGCTGAAGGGGTTAAAGGAATATGTGATGATAGATTCATGAAGTGATGAAATATGACAGATTATATTTTAAGAAAACTGATTTTGAAGAGATTTCCACATTTAGAAGCAACTTTAAAACCTCAAAACAAACATGAAATTAGAAGTTCTTATGTTTAAAAGTTCAGCAGAACAATAAATATTTAAACATTTGGGAAAAATGAATCTACAGAAAGAGATTCTGACAGATATACTAATTGTGTTATTTTAAATAGTTATAAATGTTTCTTTAGAAGAAAAAACAAAGCTTGTGAGAAATCGTCTCTCGGGTGTGAAGACGACATTAAACAGATAAACTGTTCAGTATTTGATACTTTGTGTTTTTCTTTGTTTGGTTCCTGATGAGTCCAGACGTTTCAGACAATCACGGTAAAATATGAACTAGATAAATCGGCACTAAACTATATGTTTATGTGAGGAGTTTGTGAAATTCACTGTTGACTTTGATTTGCTTGCTGTATCTACTAAAGCTTTGAGTTAGTGTGGTTTATTATCATCATGTTATGTTATAATATTGATTCATATTTTATCTCAGACTGTTTACATTTTTGGTCACTGTATTTGTATTTGAAAACATGCACTACTACATAAATATATATATATTTTCATCCACTTTGCTGTGAGTAAATCATATTTGAATAAAAATCTGATTTGAATAGTATACATGTCTAGTATTTGAATATTGTATTTGTCATATTATTCATCTGCATCACTAATGAGATGTAGTAGAGTACTTGTACTTAATAAACTTTAACAAGACTTTTTTTTTTGTGGAAGGTGAGTGACGATGCATTCAGGGTCTTCACAGAGGTCTAAGCGCTGCACTCTGCTGGACAAAAGAAACCGACCTGTGGTTCGTTGAAGTCGTGTTACAGCCTGAGCTGAGCTTCAGTGACGCTTTAAACCTTTAATCCAACAGAGGAGTGGCTCGGATCAAGACGCCCGACAGTTAAACACGTCAGTCCGGGTTATTTGGTTGTCGTGATCAGGACTTAAGATTTCAGTCTTGTGTGATTTACAAATTATATTCGAGTGAAAATAAAATATGCTCAGAGTTCAGTCTGGAACTGGTATTCAGGATTGTTCTCCATTGTATATATCACACACTCACTCACTCACACACTCTCACACACACACACACACACACACACACACACACACACACACACACACACACACACTCACACACTCACACACTCACACACTCACACAATTGTAATACTGCATTATTTCTCTGGGAACGTCGTCACAGACACAAAGTTCATAATACTGCAAATATACAGATTATGAAATACTTTCACTGTGCGTTAGATAGACATACCTGAGATAGAAAGTGACCGAACAGACTTAGAATTTAACTTTAAGTGCGTCTTCCCTCACTAACTGGTTGTTTTGGTCTTTAGTCTACAAACTTTTATTTATGCTGAACGGCTTATTTACAAGAACCGTATCATCATCACATTGTTTGTGGTTTGATTATTTGTGGAGAAAGTCGGTTGATTGGTTGACAGATGGAAAAGTGTTACTGTCACGAGTGATGAATCCCTTTCTTCTGATGAATTATCTTTTACTATTTCTGACTAATCTAGTCTCTCTGTCCGAAGCAGAATAGTGATATTGGGAATGAGAAAAAAATAAAAAACATACAAGAGGAAATCTGATTAAAATGTCTGTACATTTGTGTATTTACAGCATAAAAATGGAAACGTTTCAAACTGAAACAAAATGCTGTAATATCATAACCGACGAGTTAAAAACATTTTCTCAACAACTCAAAAACAGAGCGTCAACATCAGTATGAGGAAAAACAAATAAAAAGTTAATATCATCATAAAATATATACAAATTCTCTGCAAAAACGAGAAAAAAAAAGAAAAAAAAACACTGCAAAAAAACTTTGTAGATAAAAAGTAAACTGTGATCATGAGGGGAGTCCTGCAGCGAGGATGCTTCCCAGCAGCGTTCGGTCCTTCAGAGCGTTTTCAACGTCTTTCTCCTCGATCTTCAGAAACACCTGCAGGAAGAAAGACGTCTGAGATTAAATCCTCGACTTTAGGATTCACAGGTAACACACGGGGCAGTTTGTGAGTCGAAACCAGAACATAAAACGCACAAAAAGCAGCCTGGAAAGCTACAGAGCGACGCGACACTATTTTCTGGCATCTCCACCCTTTTGAGATCTTTCCTGCCGAGTTGATAGTTGAACTCTTTGATCTCCAAGTGTACCTTAGTGAGACGAGCCTCTTTGGCTTTCTTCAGAGAGAAGATTCCTCGACTCTCCAGCAGACCGCAGAGAGACAAACACTCTCCCTGACCAACAGCGGACACCTGCCGCTGGGCGCACAGACGGCTGTAAACCTCGTGGAGCTGAAACATGAAACACAGAAAATCAGTTTCACACTTTGTCTAAAGTTTAAATGACCTGAGCTAAAGCGACACCTGCTGGACATTTGAACTACAGCAGCTGAGGAAAGGAATTAGGTTATATTCCTGTATATCTGTGTATAGTAACGTTAGCTCTACTGTAATGTATTTTACTCTTATTTTGCAGGATGAAATAATGAGATGTTATTGTCTCAGTATCGTGCAAACATCTACTTTGGTCTATTAAAAGCATTTTTTTCATTTGAACACGAACCAGTTGAGTGACTCACCTTCCCGAGGACGATCTCTCTGCTCTTCCCGTTGCGCGTGAGCAGCAGCAGGCAGCAGACCAGCAGCTTCTGCTGCAGCGGGAAACTCTCTCCGTCTGCGCCACCGCACCGAGACGCCATCCGGTCGCCGTAAACCTCCGACAGCACGCGCGCCACCTGAGGAAGGCTGACCCGCGACGCTGCACGAGGACAGCGAGTGGTTCGAGTTGTTAGCGTTCACGGTTCTTGAGAACGTTCGCACCTTTTCTTTTAACCATAATTCCTCAGTGAACGGAGGAGAAACTCACCTTTCGTTTCAGCTGTTGGATCCGACGCTTTCTTCCTCTCGTCAGACTCCACAACCTCAACCGCTCTCCTGAAATAAAAACAATCGAATGTCAAACAAACGCAACTCTAGACTTCAGGAACTCAAAGAATCAAAACAGGAAGACAAACATACTTGATCCAAAAGGTTTGTTAAGATTTTCACCATCTTCCTAAATTAATATTTTATTATGATGAACCACATAAATAATGATCAGATCAAAAGGCAACACTGGCAGATTTAAACTAAAGCAAAACAGCTTATGCTCTTAAAAAAAAAAAAAAAAAAACCACCAAGGTTGAACTTTACTTTGGCGGGAGAAACTCGTACCTGCAGATGTCCAGAGCTTTCCTGGCGTCTCCCGACACCGCCGACACTTTTCTGGCACAAAACTGAACCGCCGAGGCGTCCAGGATCCCTTCAGCCGACGCCTGAGAGGAGCAGCGGCAAAACAAATCAAGACAATCACACACACACTCGTGTTTTACTTTGTTCAAGATGTTGAATCTCAGTCTACCTGAGAGAGCCGGTCCTGGACGATGGCCGTGAGCTCCTGCCGGCTGTAGGGAGGGAAGTGTAGCAGCAGGGGGCGACAGTGAGGCCGAGCCTGCAGTCGGGGGAGGATGCGGTCGGTCAGATCCAGAGCGTTGGCGATACCTGAAAAATAAAAATATCTTTATTCATGTCCTTTAGTTTAGACACAACACAGAATGTCTCTTTACACCGCTGATAAAGATTATAATAAAACACTCGCATAGAATCACATTTAAATGTCTTCGCTCGTGTATTTTACAGCCGATGCGTTATTGTTGGCGGGTGAAGCTCTTACCGACGAGACAGAGGCGAGACTTCGGCAGGTACGGCCACTCAAAGATGGTGTAGAGGACGTCCTGAGCTTTACTGTCCAGCTGGTCCATCTCATCCAGAACTAGCAGCCTGAGGACCAAACAGAGTCCCGGTTATTGATCGGATCAGAACCTCACCGAAGCAGAAACGACACGGAACCAAACAAACGCAGTTCTTCTAAAGTCTTAACCAGCAGTTGTTCAGTATTTGCAATTTGTACTTAATTATTTATCATCTGCTTTGCTTTATTCCATTACGAATGTTGACGAATTCAATTTGTTATTAAACTAAAAGACTTCTAGAGGCGGAATGTTCCCCCAGTGACCAGCTGCATCACATATCTGGTTCTCTGTGGTTCCTCAGAACCGGGTCGGGTTACTCACACAGCGGGCCCCGGGGCCGTCAGGAACCTCTGCAGCCCGTTCTGCCCACCGGGCGCTCTCAGCTTGTCAGCCAGCAGCGGGAAGACGGCGTGGGAGCTCCGCAGACTCATACAGTTGACCAGCACCGTTTGAACGGACGCCAGCTCGGCCTGTTAAAAACAACATAAAAACACTGAATGATAATTATTATTATTATCTAAACAGGAAGCAGATCGATACAACTTTCTCTTCATGGTCTTATCTCAAGAAAACTAAACCTGTAACGAACACTAAACTTCATTGTGATCAAATCTCTCCAGCGTGTTTATTTCTTCCACTCTCCTGTAGAACCGAGTACACGTGGTAATACTTCATCTTAAAAGTACTCTATTACAAGTAAGAGTCTTAATTAAATTACATGCATCATCATCATCAAAATATACTTTAAGTACCAAAAGTACAAATTATGCAGATTGGTCCATTTTAGAATCATGCAGTGACTTAAAGTCTCCAGTAGTTGTCACTGCAGCCTCCAACATCTACTTTCACTGTTAACTACTACTACTACAGTAAGATACCCTCACTACCATAAGTACTACTAAAGTACCTTCATCTCCTGCAGCACACAGTTGAAGCAGGCCGTCTTGCCGGTTCCCGGGGCTCCGGAGATGTAGAGGCTGCCGGGGAGGTGCCGCAGGGCCTTCTCCTCCAGGAAGGAGCGGATGGATGCCCGCTCGGCCTCCCGGGACAGGAGCCGCTCGGGGACGGCGGTGTGGAGCGCCTGCTTCACGCTCACAAACCTCGACTCTGGAGGAGAAAGGAGAAGTGACGGAGTGAGCGACGCTGAAGTCAAATTCATCCTCGTTTAATGATCAGATCCCTGCAGCTGGATTTACATCTGTGAGACGGAGTTAGCTGCGGACATTTGCCACTTAATTAATACTAATCATTTTGGATTATACAACATCTGAAAATGTCCATCACAGTTGCCCAAAACCTGAAGTGAAGTCTGCAGACTTCTTTTTGTTCAGCAGATCAAAACAAAAAGAATTCTGTTTGTAACGACGCAAATCAGCTAAATCCTCACGTTGGAGAAGCTCCTCCAACACTTAAGGCTTAAAAACACATTTCAACAAATAAACACTGAATATTGTTTCTGTGATATTACACGGAACATATTTGGGTTTTGAAACAACAAAACAAGACATTTAAATCGAGTCAATTCGGGCTCTGGGAACCTGTGATCTGTTATCTTCTGGACCAAAACGGAAGTAAACACAACGGCTGGATTATTAACACACGTCGTCTCTTACTTTCTCCAAAGAGCCGAACGACCGGCGGCCTCCTCTCTGGTTTCTGGTGTGCCGGGCTCCCGGTGGGCGTTTCTTGGCGCCTCGGAGACAATCCGGCGGCGGGAGACAGCGGTCGCAGCGGCGACGAGGACGGGACCAGCCGCCGGCGAGCCGAGACCGGCGAGTTCTCGTCGGAGACCGGCTTCCTGGGCGAAGCAGGGGTCGGCTTGCTCTGCTTGGGCGGCGAACCCAGCAGGGTGACGCCGAGGTTACAGACGTTTTCATCACCTGGAGATTTAAAAAAATAAATAAATAAAAAATACAAAAGAGTGATGACGTTGATGAAGAGGAAGACCTCGAATATAATAATCAAAGCCAAACAACAACAAAGCGGCCAAAACCAGAACGTTTGTGAACAAACGTGGATATTTGCGACGCTGTAAATAACGTCACGGATTAAATATTTGGTATAAAGCTCAACGACTACCAGAATGATGTTGTTTGCTCATTAAAAAAAAGCAACTTCCCCACAACCACGCACCACCTTTAGAGCTTTGTAACCCTCATATAGACGGGTGATGGGAGCTAAATTCTCTCCGGTGCTCACCTGTGCGTTTTCGGGGGCTGAGTGGAAGCCGTGGCTGGAGGGCCGGAAGTGAGAGGGGAGACGGGCGGCCGGCCGGTAGTTTGGGGGAGAGCAGTCCGATCCGGGTCGTTACGGGCTGCTGGGGTCCGGGCTTGGCCGGTGACGGCGCTGGAGGAGATTTGTCCAGCTGGGGCGTCTTGGACGAGACTCTGCAGGATTTGCGGCGCGGGAAGGAGAGCGTGGGCTGAGCCCGGCCGTTAGAGCGCGTACTCGGCATGTTGTGTTCACTCTGAAACGTGACAGATCGATTAATACACACACAGGGAACGCCTGGAGACGTGAAGTTATCCGTCAGGTACCACAATATTTAATGTTTACCACAATGTATTTTGTGTTTTATTTCAGTTCGTTACTGTTGTTTCCATTCGACTACAAGTACTTCAGATTTTAAATCATGCAAATATACTTCTTTACTTTAATGAGCACACACCAAATGTTGCTTTATCTTTCTGTATTTGTCTGAGATGAAGACTCTGCAAACTAAAAAGGTACTGAAAGAACATTTAGGCACCAATAATATACTACATGTATATACTAAATACTACAACATATCATACAATGGCAGCTGTTGACTTACGGCTGTGGTGGTGAAAGTAAATGTTTTAAGTAAACGTAACAATACTTCAGTGTTGAAATACTTCATTCAAAACTTAAGTAAAAGTACAAAAAGTAACAGCATTAGTAAATGCACTTAACAAAGTACAAGTACTCATTGTGCAGAATAATGCATATTATTATAGTGATGCAATAATGTGTTCATCACTTGGTAAAGGTAGAGCTCATTACTTTACACACTTCTGGGTAGTTTATTATATCATCTGTAACTAAAAGGTATCACGTAAATAGAGTACAATATAACACAAAATAGAAATACTTAAGTGAAGTACAAGTAACTTAAAGTCGTAATTAAGTATAGTACTTAGTAAATGTACTCGGTTGTGTCCCCAAATGGTTTACAGCACGGTTATTGTAATTGAAAGATTACAATAAAGTTTCGGTATTTTGAATGTAGCTCCTTCATGTTTAACCAACATATACTACAACATGGGAATCTATACTATAACTGTAACGTGTGTAGAGTTCGTAAAAACTTATCCAGCAGGTATATTATATATAATATATATTTATTTACAGTAAAATACCAACAGAACAAACAATGCAGCGTGGTTGTTAAATGGCGCCAAGACAGCAGAGGTCCAAACGGATGATTTTACATAAAATATACTCACATTTCGGGATTTACATGACTGCAGTTTAATCGGAAACATATTACGGTATTATGAGAATATTTCTGCATAAGTGGAACGAAGTAATTGTTGTATTTTAGACGCTAAACTAGCAAACCAACTCTGAATAGTAGAAGAAGAACTCTCTTCCGGTTACGATGCACAAACATATTAAACGTTTCCCGGCTTATATTAAAGCGTTAGTGACAGCTTTACCTTTTTATACGTTGTGAGAAGTGTTCCCAGCTGAGAGCAGAGTGTTTCCTCTCGTCTTTAAGTCCTCTGCGTGTCTCTATCCGTCTGTCTCCTTTCGCACACTGAGCTCCAAACTAGCGCCAATTCTCCTCCTGGGCAGCTGTGCGCCACGTCACCGCGCTCTGATTGGTCCACTGAAGGTGACGCAGCAGCTTCGCCGACGCTGATTGGCTCAGCGTTGTAAGGGGGAAGTTACGTCAGCGCTTGAGAAGCCGGGCAGGATATGTGGCGGGAGTTTCAATAGAACACTGTTTTTTGGCGGATTATATTTTCCCGGGAACTTCAGTTGTTGTTTTGTTACATCCGTCTGTGACGTCCCGAATTTTAAGTACCAGAGTCCATTTAAAATATCCCTGTTTTAAAGGTAACATTACATAAACTCGGGCAGTAGAGAACGATGCAAATTTACCCAGAATAGTTTGAGGAAACAAACAAATAATCAGGAAAGTTACAAGAAACTTCATAATTAAGTCTGTGAGTGAGGTGGAAATATTTCTGATGATGGTCCGACTTGTTGCCGTGAGAGAATGATACTGAGGTAACCCAGTGACTCCTTTATGTTCTACAAAATACTACCTCCCTCTTATCTCTCTACCTCTCCCTCCCTCTCTCTCTCTCTCATGATGCCCATCCACCGTGATTGGCTAGTGATGGTCTTGTACTTAAGGGACAACACCAAGGCCCAGAGAGTGATACAAGCTCCTTATGCTACATCAGCAAACATCCCAGTATGATTTAATGCAAAAAATTAAGGTATCAGACGCATTACTACTTTGCAGTTAAATATTTAACATTTATTCCAACACGAAAAAAGCAGGAAATAACACTTTGATAAACACGTCAGGACATCTTATAGTTGTCACTCTCACAGGGAATTCAGTATAATATAAAACACACACACATATATATATAATAGAACATGTGTATTTATTGAGATGCCCCTATGGACCTTGTTATAGGAGGTAAAGATCAGGAGAAGTAAACATGAAGTGTAATTTTGAATACTGATGTTAAATTAAGTTATGATGAGTTTTCACTGTTAATTTACCATCTCAGTTACATTTTGATGCCTCCATGACCAAGTTAAGCAGATGAGACTGAGGACAACTATGTAGAAGAAAAGATGTTCACTTTCCCTAATATGTAGCTTGACAGAGTTCTCCATGTGTGTCCTGGTGTTCTCATGTTTCCTTACCTCCTCATCCCTCACTCCCTAACCCTGGTGTTCTCATGTTTCCTTACCTCCTCATCCCTCACTCCCTACCCTGGTGTTCTCATGTTTCCTTACCTCCTCATCCCTCACTCCCGTTACTCTCCATGCTGGATCTGTCCCGTTGTTTTAAAAAGCTAAATAATGCATGAGCATGACATCATCCAGCTAGCCAAACCTTTCTGTGGTACAGGTACTAGAGAAGCTTCGCATGTACTGCTAGTCTGCTGTCTGATTGTGAGGTCAGGTTGATCTGGGATCAGCTCTTTCTCCGCCAAAGTTCTCCTCTCAAACGGGTCTGAATCATCTTCAGATGGTTTAACGTTCAAAACACACAAAAAAACAAGAAAAAGGAATGAGAAGGAAGTTAAACTGGTGTTTGAATGTCAGGGTGTTCCTCAAAGAGGCAGTAAAAGCTCGTTCACAGAGCTTCACTGAGAGGAGGAGCAACTGTGAGAGAGGAGAGCTGCTGAGTCACTTCTCCTGAAGTGAAAGTGAAAGTTAGTCTGAGCGACAGCAGAGCTGCAGTCCAGACAAGTCTCTCCGTTTCTCTCTAAAGAAACATTCAACTGAATCCAGCAGCTTCTTCTCAACAACAGAGTCTCCGACACACTCTGGTGAGTTCACTGTTCTACAGAGAAACTCAACATTTGGTCAAAAGTGAGTTCAAACCAGGATCCAGAACAAAGAACAAAGTAGCAGCAGATAAGCTAGGCCTGCTAGAAGCTAACTAGCCTAGCTGCTGCTCCCTTTGGATTGTCCAAACACAGAGAACAGCATCTGATTTAATGTGTGGATGTATTTATTGATTATAGAGGAACAACATTGATGTGTTGTAACTTACATAACTGTTCTGTACTTTGGTAAATATCCTTGAACTGTAAAGCCTTTCCTCTAAAGGTCACTGTCTCTGTAGTTCCTGCTGTCTGTCTTTGTGAGGAAGTTCAGCTGATAATATTTACTGTGTTTCAACTCAAACACTTCAGCTCGACTCAGACAGGACGTTCAACTCACATTCAACCTGAGGTCCAAACATGTCAGTAAATAGTAATGTGTTCAATATAAAAGTGGAATTAAAGATGATTAGGCTCCTTACAAATGATATAAATTCACTCTGATAATATATAAGCAGCAGGGTAGCAGTATTATTATTTAATATGTGATGTGACAGTGATGGAGGATCACTCTGTGTGTTTAAATTCTATTTAGTGAGCACCTTTCTAAAGTACTCAAACCCTCTTCTGTAATGTTCCTCTACAGTAGGCGTCTCCAGGACACATTCCACCATGATGACACACTGTTGCTGCTGCTGAAGATGTGATAACAGTTTGTTTTCTCACTCTTGTTGTCCTCAGAGTGTAGATATGTCTGCTGCCAGCTATCTGCTGACTGAAGATCAGTTTCTGTGCTCCATCTGTCTGGATGTGTTCACTGATCCAGTCACCATACCATGTGGACACAACTTCTGTAAAGCCTGCATCACTCAACACTGGAACGTTAATGTCCCGTTTCAGTGTCCAAACTGTAAAAAGCTTTTCTACACCAGAGCTGAGCTGCAGGTCAACACTTTCATCTCTGAGATGGCTGCTCAGTTCAGACAGTCAGCTCAACAGAAAGCCAGCAGCTCAGAGCAACAAGAGTCCAAACCAGGAGAAGTTCCCTGTGACGTCTGCACTGGAACCAAACTGAAGGCCCTGAAGTCCTGCCTGGTGTGTCTGGCCTCCTACTGTGAGACTCACCTGGAGCCTCATCTGACAGCTTCACGTCTGAAAAGACATCAGCTGATCGACCCTGTGGAGAACCTGGAAGACAGGATGTGTACGAAGCACGATAAACCTCTGGAGCTGTTCTGTAAGACCGACCAGATGTGTGTCTGCATGCTCTGCACTGTTTTAGACCACAAGATGCATGAGTTTGTTCCTCTGGAAGAAGAATATGAAGGAAAGAAGGCCGAGCTGGGGAAGACTGAGGCTGAAATCCAGCAGATGATCCAGAAGAGACGAGTGAAGATTCAGGAGATCAAACACTCGGTGGAGCTCAGTGAGGAAGATGCAGACAGAGAGATAGCAGATGGTGTTCAGGTCTTCACCGCTCTGAAGGAGTCTGTTGAGAGAAGCCAGGCCGAGCTCATCGACACGATCAAAGAGAAGCAGAGAAAGACAGAGAAACAGGCTGAAGGCTTCATCAAAGAGCTGGAACAGGAAATCAAAGAGCTGAAGAGGAGAAGCACTGAGGTGGAGCAGCTCTCACACACTGAAGACCACCACCACCTGCTCCAGAGCTTCACGACCCTGAACACTGCTCCAGCCACCAAGGACTGGACAGGAGTCAGAGTCAGTCCACCTTCACATGAGGGGACTGTGAGGAGAGCTGTGAACCAGCTGGAGGAGATGCTCAGTAAACAGATGAAGAAGCTGTTTGAGGTCAAGCTGAAGAGGGTCCAGCAGTCTGCAGTGGATGTGACACTTGATCCTGATACAGCACATCCTACTCTCATCCTGTCTGATGATGGAAAACAAGTTAAACTTGGTGACATAAAGAAGAATCTCCCAAACAATCCAGAGAGATTTGATTATTGTGCTATTGTCTTAGCAAAGCAGAGTTTCTCTTCAGGAAGATTTTACTTTGAGGTTCAGGTTAAAGGGAAGACGTGGTGGTCTTTAGGAGTGGCCAGAGAGTCCATCAACAGGAAGGGAATCATCACACTGACTCCTCAGAAAGATTGCTGTACGATAAGGTTGATTAATGAGAATCAGTACGTTGCTCTTACTGACCCTCCAGTCTGTCTCTCTCTGAAGTCTCAGCCTCAGAAGGTGGGGGTGTTTGTGGATCATGAGGAGGGTCTGGTCTCCTTCTATGACGTTGATGCTGCAGCTCTTATCTACTCCTTTACTGGCTGCTGCTTCACTGAGAAACTCTACCCATACTTTGATCCTGGTTTTAATGATGGTGGTAAAAACTCTGCTCCTCTGATCATCTCTCCTGTCAATCACACTGAGTAGAACAAACACTTGATCTTCTACAGAGAGACTCTTTCATTTAATGTAACAAATCTATATTATTGGTGATTTACGGTGTAAACTTTTTTGATTTTGATGTTTTTTTCTATTTGTCTGTAAATGTGTTTCTACTCCAACACACAGACATTAAGCCACTGATTGATATTATATAATGTCGTCTAATTCATTCTAATAACTGCATAACCTGCCTTCAAGACTGTTGAATCATCAAAAACAATGTACTCAGGAATAAGAAGCATTTATATATATATACACATTATGAATACTGACACACATTATTGGATAAAGTCATGTACCACTTATTATTTAGTTTAATAAAAGGTGTATAAATCCTCTTGCCACTCTGACGGCCAGCGGGCGGGCCGTCAGAGTGATAACGGCATATTTTTGTTATGCATACAACTGCCCTATAACGATGAGTATTAATGTGATATCTCATTAGAAAGCTACGGTTCTTGTAATTCGATTTATGCAAACCATTTCAAGATACAATAACAACAGCAGGTACAGTTAACGTCTCTGTCAAACAAGCACTCCAAAAATAGCCGATAAAATATCGCTGTGACTCACCGATTATGATCCATAACGTCCCCCTTGTGCATGCTAGTCCAGCAAAAACGGTCTTGCCAGGTGGCTAAGGGTCCACTCGATTGAATCCAGTACAAGATTTAGTCCAAAACACATTAGTACGTCCATAAAGACCCACGGGGGGCTGTTGCATCATTTCAAATTAGCCAGCAGATATGATAACTCGGATCACATTTCGGGCATAACTTCACGTTCTGTGTCAACAAAGCAGAGATTTTCACCGCAAAATGGAGGCTGCGTTCCGCCAGTTAGATTGACACCTCATTTGACCCAATAGGAGCTTATATAGCCCGGCCACAGTCTGGAACAGCCAACGAGAGTCCGCTTTGAAAGACAATGCCCGCCTCACTTCTTTGGGTATAGCTCGAGCCAATCGCAACAGATCCTGTTCAAACTCAGGCTCCACATAGCCAATGAAATTACGAAGCCAAGGATATGCAGATTTATCAGATGGCCCCCTGGGAAAGTTTTGAAAACTGCAATTGAAACCGTGAGTGAGGTAACGGGGACAGAGTATGAAGACCAAAGTCTGGTTCATAAGAATTTTCAAGAATATGTGGAAGTTTATAATGGTTAAATATGATATACTTAACCATACATCAACATAAATAAACTATAGCTTGAATCTTGGACACGTAGTATGTGTATTTCGACATGGTGAGGTGATCCTCCAAGTGAGTTTTTAAGCGGCAGCACTCTTAGTAAACCATGTGTAAAATATTAATTTTCTTTTGTATTGTTATCAAATTATAACTTATACCAGGTATCATGGCCGCATGCTGTCGAAGGAGAGTCTTTTCAAGCCTGTAAGTCCCAGCCATAGATAGCTGCTGCCATCTGTTGGCCAAAACAAATCTAGGCGGAAGTAAAATGCTTCTCTTTCAGTGTGCTGAAAACGCATTAGCTCAATGCTAGTAGCACTTACGGTGATTCTGACTGATTGTGAAGAAACTTCAGAGTGTTGCCGTTCAATAAAGACTAAAACCATACATGTACTCCCAATGGTTCAATAAGAGCTGTCAGTTTACTTTGGGTACGCGGTTGATAGGCGTTTTAGGCAAGTTATGCAGGAATGAGAAGAGGATAAGGGTTTTAGTTTTCATCATTTTTGAATCAACAGAAGCATCAAGAGGTCTCTGTCTACTGTGTTTTTAGGGCTCAATAAAAGATGAATTATTTATTCATATTTATAGAAAATGAATCAACAAAATCTAATAATAAAATATTCAGCTGCTGTGACCAGAGAAGAGTTTAGTATCGTGTTATTAGTATTTCATACAGTCATCCTCTCTGCAGAATGTTTTATAGCCTGAACAAAGTGAACAAATCCTCAAGAGAATAAAAACAAAGAGACTTTGAATTGGATTTGTCTTTTGTATTTTGAGATACTTTATGTATTTGCACTTTATGCTACTTCAAACTGTACTACATCTCAGAGGTACATACTCTCGGCCACTTTTGGTCATCTGCAGCAGAACCTCTCTTTGATTGCTCTTATTTTGTGGAGAAGCCGCCTTGTTCCTGACAGTAACTCCACCTAGTGGTGAAACTAAGAAGTACAATACAGTCAAGCACAAGTTTCATGTGTCGGCCACGTTCCATTATATTTGGTCCGTAGTTTGGACACCCCTGATGTAGTTAGTAGAGACAACGTGAGATGATTTATATGAGAGCAAAGAAGAAGATGATACACAAATCTGTATTTATACTTTCTCAGAACTTCTCTTGTTATTGTGAAATATTGGATAATTTAATCTCTTTGGACCTCAAACGGTTATTTGATGAAACTGAGAGACGTTTAGAATAATGACTCTTTAGTGGAACATCTACTCTGTTGAATTAACAGTATTGATGGCACTTAAAGGACTTCGTCAATACATGTTAGTCTATAGCGCCTCCCAGAGCCCAGAGATCTACAGTTCAGGAGACCGTACCAGGCAGGAAGGTGAAGAGCTGAATCACTCTCAACAATAGTTTAGTACTCAAAATGTGCTGACTGACACCAAGAACACTACGTTTCCTCAGAAGATGAAGTCGCTGTGAGCATCTCTTAAAAACATACTCTGTCCTTCCAGAGAAGCTCACCTGTTCAGAGCTATTTAAATGTTCAACATGTTGGCCGTCATGTGAAACTGTGTTTGAATGTTGTGACGATGCTTTTTCCAGCTGATCCAAGAGGCTTTTTAAACAGTTTATTTATCTGAAGAAGAAGCAGCATTTTAAGGAATATTTCATCGTTCACTTTATTCCAATTATTCAACATGAACACATCTGGAGATACACGACTCATACTAAACAGGAAGGAAGAAAATAATGACGGACGAATGAAGTGGAGTAGAAGTATAAAGTTCAACAAAATGGAAACACAATTGTAAGTACAGTACTCGAGTAAGTGCACGGAGTTACTTTCTATCATGGCACTTTATAATAATTTAAGTCACAATATTAGTGACAATATTTAAAAAAACAGTAAAAAGTACCCTGTTTTGTTCTGGGTCACTATTGCTTCTGTAGAGCCAGTTTATTAGGTACAGCTAGTTAAATCTAATGCAGTATAATACAACAGTCCTGCAGTAAATCCCTCCTTCATGTAGGTTGTAATGCTCAGGTTTTGTTTTTGAGGAGATGTACAGTAGTTTGTGATGCTGTTGAATTGTATTGTGTTAAAGTGAAAGATGTTTGGAATGCAAACAGGTTAGCTTTAGCTGTACCTAATAAACTGGAGTTTAAGTGTTGATCAATGTATTGGTCAACAACTATAACACCTCCTGTGGGCAACCAAAAGTGCAATATCAGTGTACAGTAACAATATGGTTTGTACTTGTGTCCTGAGATCAATTAGAGCCCTGATAGCATCTTTACTAAGACACAGTGGTGCTCTGAGCTAAATGCTAACATCAGCATGCTAACATGCTTAGAATGAAAAAGCTAGCATGCTGATGTTTAACATGATTGTGTTTTGGCATGTTAGCATGCCTAAATGTCCATAGTTTTGCAGGTATTTGGTCACAAAACAAAGCAAGACATTGACCTGATGATGGCGCTAGAGAAGAAAAGTCAGAGGAGCACAGTGGTTGAAACAATTCATCCTGAGAATGTAAACTCTGCAGAAAATTTCACCAAAAATACACCGGCCCAATTTTCATGAAACTTGGTGGAAGGGTGAAGTAAAGGCAGAGGAAGAACCCATTCAAATATGGAGGGGGGTCCCAATCGAGGGGCGGATACACTAATTTTTCACTTTCGTTAACATTGCATGATTGTGCATTCGGCCTTGGCGGAGGTCTTAATTCTCCGCTAGCCCGTCCAGTCAATAGGATTGTGTTGACCAGCTCAGAACATTTGACTTTTCTTTTTTTCCCCCAATACTGTGTCTGGACCAAATGGACTCATTTATTGCTGTTGTGTCCAACTGGTAATACGTTTGTTTACTAGCTCATGTGGGGAGGTTCACTGTTTTATTTTGGTCTCTAAAAAGCTTTAAGTGTGCTTTCAGCTCGGTGATGTGATGGTCAGCAGTCAGGCCGCCGACCATCACTTTCACCTCTCAGACGTTTAGCAAACCGGTCGCTGCAGGTTCCTCCTGGTCACCGTCCCTTTCTGCTCTGTAGGTGTTTGATTCAAGGTGACATCCATTTTGTTTTGGCTCCTTCTGTCCTGTGAGAGAAAGAAAACCAGTTTGTGATACTTGTTAAAAGGAGCTTGTTTAAGGAAGTAGAGATAACAAAACACACGTCTTACATCTCAGCATTAATGTGGATTAAAATCGTAACTTTAATCGTAAAGTTTAATTTGATTTGGGGGTTTCCCTGCAGACCAAAGTGGTCGTGTTTGCATTCACCAGAGTCCCTTTAGAAAACCTCTAATTTTACTGCTCAGTCCTGGTTCTGGTTCTCCCGTTAAAAGTTCCTCTCAGTAACTTTAAACACCCATCAAGACTTTAAATGACGATGACAAAAAGTCGGGAAGCAGGAGTTTGTTTTTGTAACTCACGCATCGCTCTGCTCCTCAGAACCAGAAAAACAACGAGACTGCAGAGAAGGAAGACAACAGTGGAGATGACAGCAGCACGGCCGGCCTCCCGGTTTCCACCTGAAAGAATATCAGAGGAGATGTTGAAGGGTCAAGGTGATGCCGTGTCACGTAACAGATGTTACTGTCAAGAATCATGAATAGAATCATTTCATGTCCATCATTTTGTCATCCTCATTGTTCATTCTGTAATTTACTTCTGTACACAAGACATGGCAACACTGGGCTGGGTTTTTCTGTTGAGTACTCTAGCTGATTTCATTGTATGACAAATAAACAAGTAAATTTAGATCGTAGTCACAATTTGCTACACATATTTCTCAAGATTAGAAAAAACCCAGCCTTTAAAAAACTAAATTTAGACACAACCTCCAGTCAGACTGTCTTGTGTTCAAAGACGCCGTAGAATAAAGTGAATCAAAGTTTCCTAAAGAGCGATTCAGAAAGACATTTACCATGATCTTCTGACTCTGGTTCTTCTTCTAGTGGAGGTACAGTTGTGCTGGAAACATCTGTCTTTGTCTCTTTCTCATCTGATTCAAACGACACAAACACGGTTATTCATTATTTGCAGGTTCATTATATGAATCTTGAATCCTGAGCTGACCTATAGAGTATTAAACTGCTTACCAACGATGAGCTGGACCTCACACCAGACCTTCAGTTTTGGGACAAAGCATTTGTATGATCCGCTGTCTGACAGGTTGGCTGAGGAGATCTTGAGGGTTATGTTTCCTCTGCTCAGAGCTTCATGATTGATGGTGGTCCTGCCTCTGTATTGATCCACCACTGGATCAAGGTCGTCCCGTCCATGTCGATAGACGTAGACGACCTGCTGGTTGTCAACTCTACTCCAATCCACCGTGTAACGAGACAAGTCGACCAGGTGATCCAGACCACAGTGAAGAGCAACATTCTCACCTTCAACCACCTTGATCGGCTGCGTTGGGCAAACGGCACGAGACCCTCCTGTGAGACAAACATGATCTTTAGACAGTTTGAAAGCCTCGAGAACAGACATCTTCTCAGCATTCACGTTGCACAGTCCAGGTGTTCACATTCAGCGTGTTTGCGTTGTTCTGTTTCATCCACCGGCCCTCTTAAATAAACTGGATAACCTCACGTGGGTTTAACTCAAAGATGCATGAACACAGAAGCTCAGAAGTTTGTTTCACTCCCGTGAAGTCAATGTTTGCAACACATTGTGTCAGAGCTCCAGACTGATGAAGCTTCAGTTCCTGCTGCTTCACAAAGATGCAGCTCAACTTTGTGATCGACACAAAAGTGTGACAAGAAAAGAGGACGTAGACTAAACCAGAAAGACTTCAGTATGCAAACATTTCCACCTGATGCCAAGTAAAGTAGTGTAATAAAAGAAATCTACTAATTTAATCAATATTATCCAACCACACTGCTTTGAGTCTCCTGAAATGTTTCATACATTTTAACTATGAAGTTAAAACACACGAGTGACGCTGGATTCATAGATTATTACATTTACACTAAAACTAAATACTGTCAGACTGTCTCCACTCACCAGAATGAAAATAAAGTTTGTATTTAATAAAAATAACATGTGCAAATACAAACACAGTGGAGCTTGTAGCTCAGATTATGTTATTGTTGACAAAGTGGTCGCTGTTCATCTGTTCATGCTGGATGAACTGACACTCTGAGGAAAACAGAAGGAGAGATGACATCATCGTCATTACAGAAAAACCTTAGAAAAACTCATGAAGGTCTATGAGCTCACGTCATGTTTCAAAACGACCTCCCAGCTAAAGTGACAAAACATCAAAGACAAAAATATTATATTTTTGGTATCGACCAAGAAATCAAGGCCCAATCCCAATGTCTCCCTAAAACCCTCAAAGCCTGAACCCTCAAGGACTTACTCACTTCACCTGGTAAGTGGGTGAATGTGAGAGACTGTGAGGCCTTGAGATGGTGTAAATATTAATGGGACAGCACTTTGCTGCAACATATCACGTTACCATGAAAACCACAATAAATATGATGTATAATTGTGGGTATTTATTTTATACTTTGTACTCCCTGATTTGAACATCTTCCAGGCTCTTTCCTCACAAGATGAGAGGTAACTTCATATAATCTATTTACTTGTTTTTTGTTAAAACAGCTTCAATGACAAAATCAAATATTTGATGAATAAATAAATAAATATTCTCTGATTTCATATTTATTTTTTGTTCCATCTTTAACCCTTAATGTTTCTGAGTAAATTTATTATGACAGGCTGAACACACGTGAGCCGTCCTCTTTGTTTACCTTTTTTTTACGTCTCCATGCGTCCACTGGTTACCCCGTGTTTAAGGTCACATTGCAATGATTTGTGGGTAATTCCCTAGATCTAAGTCAGCATCCTATGCTGATTTACGGAAAGGGTTCATAAAGGGCTCAAAATGTCAGCCGGAGAGCCCTCAAACACTCAATGATTTGACAGTGGGACAGCCCTAAACACGCCTCAAAGCGGGGGGACATTGGGCCGAAAAATTTGAATAGCTACGAGGAATTTGACTTCCGCACTTCCGGAAACAGCGGTTCCTCCGCGTGCTCAGCTGACACTGTAGTTATTTCCTATGTTGTTTCCACAGGAGGGGGAACACACGTGCGTTCTGCGCCAAAAGGCGTTTAGGGATTGGTAATTGTTATTTGAATCATCCATATTGGATATGCCATAGACGAAATATATTATGTTCCTTCTCGTAAACATAAGCGATCATTACCGTTGACGTGAGACATTTATTTTGAAACTGTATATTTCGGATTTGCACCTCATTGGCCACCAGTTTCTTTATCCAATTCACCGTTAACTTGTTTTCATTTCTGGCATTTAGTTTTTGCACCTTACTTGTTATTTGCCCTATACACGGTATATATTTGCAGTCTTTTTCACTTATCTCACAAATAAAGTTATATCCTACTTATATATCGACAATGAGACTGTTGTATGAAACTGTAGTTCATGTCACTTTCACCTTATTGGAAATCTTCATAATTCTTCATAAAAAAGCGTTTTCTATTAAAATGTGTAATCCCAGATTCCGTGTAAGTACACCAACAACAGATTGTCATAAAGAAGCCGGAGCTATGAAGTAGTGAACGATGCAAACTCACCCAGAATAGTTTGAGGAAACAGACAAATAATCAGGAAAGTTACAAGAAACTTCATAATTAAGTCCGTGAGCGAGGTGGAGACCTTCTGATACAGAAGTTCATTTTCGCCACACCAGACTACTTTATTTTTTTTTTCCCATTGCGCCAAGCGAGCTGCTCTCATTGGTAGGCGCGATGCTCATGAAAAGCGCTACCAATGAGAGCAGCCCGCTAGGCCCGCCCATTTCTACGCTGTTCTTCCGCCTCTCTCTCTCTCTCTCTCTCTGTTACAGAAAGATAGAATTGGGCCACTTGCAGCATTAACAGACTTTCACGTTAAACCAATTTAAAATACACAAAGAGAACTGATGTAAAATATTTGAGAGTTTACTCCACAACTTCAAAGGACTACAAATCCCAGAGGCTACAGTGAGGCGTCCATGTTCCACCGATATCTCTCCTGCTCTGAATGAAACTGAAGGGAATTGACTTGTAGTGCGAGTCCGTTTTGTTTATTCTTTTAACCTTTAAGATATTATCTTTAACAATATCCAAATGATGGTGCTCTTGAACATGTGTTTGATCATATTTTATATTCCAAATGATTCATTCATAAACAGTTTTTTTCCTTTTCTCTTTGAATTTAACATCTCAACTCACCGAGTTTACTGAACGAAAATTTAAATATTTTCTCCAATACGTCTTAAGCTTGTTTATATAAATGTATTTTTGTAATGCATTTGTCCTTTAATCACATTTTTTATTATTTGTGTGCATTTGTATTATACTACCTTCATATGTTCTGTATGTGCTGCAAATGTTTCTTTATTAAAATTTGTACTCTTCCTACTACAAAATAATCTTTACTAATCCCCCTAGTCCCCCTGCCAGAACCGAGTGTCCTAAAGGAAAAAAGGTCATGCCAAAGTGCAATAGTAATAAACTAAAATCAATTACAGTCTGTAGCTGACAATACACAATAGTTAGATAATAAAAAGTTAATGGATAAAAAAAAATAAAAAAAAAGGAATCGCGCGCATATATATATATATATATATATACACATACATAGAGATAGAGATACACATATATACAGATATACATACACATAGTACACACACACACACACACGTGTGTGTATATACACGTGTGCATATACACACGCACGTACGTACACACACGTATATACACACGTATATATATGCATGTATACACACATATATACATACATATGTGTGTACAGATACATATACGTGTGTGTTTATACACATACACTATATAAAAGAAACTAGAAAAAATATCACAGTGCAAGGAAGACATTTCATATTCATCGTATTGCACCCAGATATATTGCACATAAGGGCATTAATTAATTTGCACATTTAAGGTTTCATTCATATAACGTCACGTTAATGTACTTCCTTTTTAATAAATGATTAAGGCACTTTTCTAGTCTTCTGACTAGAAAAGTGATGCCTCTGTCCTTAGACCCTCGATTCAGATTAACAAAAACTCCCCGAAGAAATGAGGACGACGTTCCCGCTTCCTGGACGGACAGACAGGAAATAGATGTCTTGTGTACAGAAGTAAATTACAGAATGAACAATGAGGATGATAAATTATGGACAAGATTGTCTATAACATTGTTTTTACTGAACGTTTTTCTCTTTATGATTCTTGACTTTTGTCTTGTCTGTTCCCTTTGGTTGTTGTTGAACTAATGAAATAAGTAACAAGCTAAGAACATAACTGGTTGTGAATGTATTTGCACAGTTAACAGTACACACTGACTGCTAAAATAAACTGCTGTCCTTGTCCTCATAGAGAAATGTATGCAGAAGCTCAACGGAGAGAGGCAGCAAGAATACGAGAGGCCAAGAGACATTGAACTACAATAGAGGAAGTGACCCTGCTGAGGAAACATCATGCAAGTGATGGGCGAGGTGCCTCTGTACGTGTCTTCTAGTGTGTTTGCTTTTTAAATACCAGCCCACCAAACATCTTGGTGCTATGAAATCAGGGACCCTTTAAAAATGTTTGAGAAAGACAAATGTATAAAGGGGAAATGAAACAAAATGTAAACAAGTAAGGTGCAAAAACTCAATGCCAGAAATGAAAACAAGTTAACGGTAAGTGGGATAAATAAACTGGTGGACAACAAGGTGCAAATCCAAAATATACACAGTTTCAAATCGGCTCACGTGTTGAAAATACAACACGTTTCCTGAAAGAAAAATGTTTTGAACAAATGGATAGTTAATGATTTGAGCTTCACTGCATAGTTTCCATAGTGTTATGCCTCCACACACATCTCCAATTAGTATCATTATTCTTTGTAAAGCAAAAGTGAAAACTCAGACGCATTCCAGCCAAATATTACAAACAATAACTAAATAAATAACATTAAACAGTTCAGTGAAATGTGTTAAATTCTAGCCAAATATTTCACTCTTTGTTTTAAAGACATGATAGCGTAAAAACGTTTTACCTGGCTCGGTAAACTGTAAAGAAAGTCCACATGTTAGAAACTCCAACGACTGACTTCCTCCCCCCCTCCCCATCTTGTGTTATATTCGCACATGGCCCTAAGCTCCGCCCCTTTGTTTGATGCATTTTGGCGCCATTCGGGGACTCCGAGAACTCTCATTGGTTGAGTTCAGTGAGCAACGAAGTGACGACATAAACCGTTTTATGTCCCATTGTTGTCATATTACTGATACTAATGACACTTTTTGGATAACATGAGATGAAATATAAATCATATCCTTCATGTTAAATATAAATCTCAGCACACTGTGGAGTCATGAACCTTTAGGACGACATGTCAGTGGAGAACACGTGATGCAGTGCCCTCTATATACTTTATATTATAATGATCTCTTGTTTATACTTTCTCTTTTTATTTATGTCTTCGTGCTGCTGCATCACCTGAACATCCCCTCTGATGATCAATAAATAATTATCTCATCTTTATTTATAGAGATGTTTTCACCTCTATATGGATATATGTTCTTGTTCATTGTTGCCTTCTTATATATATTCATGGTATATATGCATTTATCTTTTTTGCCTACTTGTGTTGCATGTACATAAAACTTATATATGTTAAGCTCTCTTCAGCTTTGTTGTCCTTGTTTCAGCTGTATGTCTACTTCTGTGTATAAGTACACGAGAGCAAAGAAACCAGACAAATTCCTTGTGTGTGTAAATAAAGATGACTCTAAACGTTGCTGCAAAAGTAAAAAACTTCCAACATTAAAAATAGAAGAATACAAATATAATATTTGAGAGTAGTTTTCACCTTAAACCTAGAAGTACATTATGTATGTGGACAGCTGTAGTCTGGATCCGTTTTTCATAGATTGGGCTCTTTTGTACTTAAAAGATGAAATGTTGATACTTCAGCATACAATATATTTTAGGTAACTGTGTTTTTACAATTCTATGTCCACAGTTCATGTTTGTTTATTTCCTGTTTTAACTTGACGGCCCCCTGCTGGTGCTCTGGAGTCTCTGTCTGGTCTTCACTTTATCTCAGGTGGTGTTTTAGTGAATCATTAATGATTGCTGTGTACTAATGTGTTCCATCCTTCTTCTTTGAGAGCAAGCAAACTCATATTTATATGTTGATATATAAATCTTTAAATCCAGCCATCACCATCCTATGAGATGAAAACAAACGACTGACTGTGGAGCCACATTACCGTCAAAGAAAAGCTGCAGCGCATACAATCACCATGATGACAAACAGATTCAGAGCCACATTTTATTACCAAAATGTCTTCGTATTAGTTTGGATAAAATGATGCCGAACACCTCGGTGTGAATTACTTTCACCACCGAGAATCAAATATGAAATCGCAGAAATAAAAACACTGACATCAGGTAACATTCCCACATATTTATTTGAAGTGATAAACATGATTAACCTCACACTACAATACAACAACCAAAGAGACAGGAAATATAGAAAAAAAGGAAATAAAATATAACAAGACCGAAGTCAAGAATCATAAATATAAAAAGGTACAAGTTAGGAGATTGGGAGCATCCAACGATGCCAACAGCGCTAGCATCGCAAACTACAGAGAAAGTGCTGACTGTTCATCTGAGGGGGAGCCAGAAGTGGAAGCTACTCCTGCAACTCTTTGTACTCGGAAAAGTGCAATGGAACGGAAATTCAAGTCGGAAAAACGAGACCAAAATGTATCGAGCCCTAATTAGCCAATTTATTATTACCTTTTCATATTTGTTTACTTTACGTAGTGTTTGTGTTGTTAAAAAATGCTGTAACAACGTTTCCATTTAAATTTCCATTCAGTTAATTTGTGTCTTTGAGAGCACGCGGTACTAGTTTGAAACTAGTAGCCAACAATCTAGTGTTAAGTATTACAATTACACAGAAAATTAGGATTTTTTAAACAAAATATGGAGTTTGTTGTCAAAACTAAGAGCCAATCAGCTGTTTGATCAGGCAACAGCCAGGCGTTTCCCATCATGCACTGGGGTCACGCAGACAGTGGAGAGTAACTTCGGCACCTCGCTCTAAAATCTGCAGCCGCCTCGATCTCGTGATGTCAATGTTGACCACGTGTTCATGACGTGAGTTTCTAGAGGATCCCGTTGCTCTTTGAAAGAGGTTCTATAAAGTGATGAATGTGAATGTTGAAATCAGTTTGAATTGGCTCCGACTCTCCGACCTTCCAGTCTGGGTGAGTTTGGAGATCCTGACTCTCTGATGTTTGTTACTCCAAAAATAATATAAGAGTACACATAAGAGCACTTTATATTAATTAGGTGGTTAGGTAAGGTAGGTTGGTGGTAAGGGTTAAATGTCTTGCTCAAGGACACATCGACATGAGACTAGCGGAGCCGGGGATCGAACCGCCGACCCTCTGATTGAAGGACGACACCTGAAGAGGAGATTGTATCGGCGTATTTTGGGGGACATTGAAAGGCTTAGATTAGTTTTATAACCAGACAATAAAATATAACCAGACAATAAAATAGTCCATCAACCTTGTTGGATGGTTTTTCCGGATGAATGGTTTTCGTCATGAACCACCACCTCTGTCAATGCTTCTGCGGCGCTGCGAGGGTCTTCATCCCCCTCTGTTGGTCCGGTCGACATCTTCTTCTTCTTTCCTCTGAACGTCTTCTTACAAATCTCTGTGAGAACATGGAAACCACTTTGAGACACTAAATTCATACAACTTAGGAAAGTCTGTGTCTATTGTTAAGAATGTAGTCCGTAGAGACAACATGAGAGGATTTATATGAGAGCAAAGAAGAAGATGATACACAAATCTGTATTTATACTTTCTCAGAACTTCTCTTTTTATTGTGAAATATTGGATAACCAATGTATTTATTTGGGAACATCAAGTCAGTAACCTGGATGGAGATCACCTGCCGTCACGTTGTGATGGATCTCTACCAAACCCTGTGATACGCAGAGTCTTCACGAAAAAGGTTTTGAATTCATTGGAACACGAGTCAGAAGTCAGATATCTTGCAGACGAAGTGACTCACGGTTAACGGCCACTACACGTTCATTAGTCGGCCGTAGGCTCCATCAAAGAGGTGTTGCTTCAGTCGGCGATAGACGACGACTTAACAGACATTTATTTAAATAAAAGTCCTCGAGATGGTCACTTAAAGTTTGTAAAGTCCGCCACTGACAGTACAATGTTGGAGAGCAGTTTGTAACTTACTGAACACTTTAGATTTCCACAGGATACAAAGAACAGCAACACCAAAGACACCAAAGACAACGGGAAGGACAGCCGTCCTCTTCACAGCACCTGACGGAACATCAGACAGAGTTGATAAGAACACCATGAGGCTCAAAGGTTATTTAATATGGTTATTCATTCTGATGATTCATCTATAGGCTACTCCTGGTGATTAAACAACAAAACATTTAGACACAACCTCCAGTCAGACTGTCTTGTGTTCAAAGACGCCGTAGAATAAAGTGAATCAAAGTTTCCTAAAGAAAGATTCAGAAAGACATTTACCATGATCTGCAGGTCCAGTTGTGCTGGAATCATCTGTCTTTGTCTGTTTCTGTTGGTCTTTGGATGCTGTTAAAAAAAAAATATACAAAAGAAACCTCAGTACACTGAAAATACAGGATAAAATATATTCTAGTAATATCAGACAGAGCTGTTTGTTTTAATCTACTTGGGCTCTTGTTCTTGTTCTCAGAGAGACTGAAGGATAAAGTGTAAATATTCAAAGACATTTACCATCATCGTCTGTCTCTGGTTCTTCAAGTGCAGGTCCAGTTGTGCTGGAAACATCTGTCTTTGTCCCTTTTTCTTCTGATTCAAGCGACACAAACACAGTTGTTCATTATTTGCAGGTTCATTATATGAATCTTGAATCCTGAGCTGACCTATAGAGTATTAAACTGCTTACCAACGATGAGCTGGACCTCACACCAGACCTTCAGTTTTGGGACAAAGCATTTGTATGATCCGCTGTCTGACAGGTTGGCTGAGGAGATCTTGAGGGTCATGTTTCCTCTGCTCAGATCTTCATGATTGATGGTGGTCCTGCCTCTGTATTTATCCACCACTGGATCAAGGTCGTCCCGTCCATGTCGATAGACGTAGACGACCTGCTGGTTGTCAACTCTCCTCCAATCCACCGTGTAACGAGACAAGTCGACCAGGTGATCCAGACCACAGTGAAGAGCAACATTCTCACCTTCAACCACCTTGATCGGCTGCGTTGGGCAAACGGCACGAGACCCTCCTGTGAGACAAACATGATCTTTAGACAGTTTGAAAGCCTCGAGAACAGACATCTTCTCAGCATTCACGTTGCACAGTCCAGGTGTTTACTGTCCAACTTTGTGATCGACACAAAAGTGTGATAAGAAAAGAGGACGCAGACTAAATCAGAAAGACTTCAGTATGCCAACATTTCCACCTGATGCCAAGTAAAGTAGTGTAATAAAAGAAATCCACTAATTTAATCAATATTATCCAACCACACTGCTTTGAGTCTCCTGAAATGTTTCATACATTTTAACTATGAAGTTAAAACACACGAGTGATGCTGGAAAAAGCTTCACAGGATTAAATAGATTATTACATTTACACTAAAACTAAACTAAATCAGCTCCAAAGGGTTCTTTCCAAATCAAACAGGTCTTGTGCTGTCGTCTGTGTTGTTATACTGAATTTATTAGCTTTACTGTACACGAACATCATATCACCACTAACACCACAGCTAGGAAAAAAGTGACATGAAGATCAAACACTTCAATGCACCTAAATAAAACGAAAAGTTCAAGAAAGTCTCGACAATATCAAACAAAACAAGCTTTAAATAGCGACACTTATTCATGTTATTGTGATGTTTGGGTCAAACGCGTCAAAACTTAAATAGAGCAAACACTACCGAGGTTAGGCTTACCATGCTAATGCTAAGTACGACAGTAGCCGAAGAAGTCTCCGAACAGTAACAACGTAGTTTTTATTTACTTTATTGTTTTTAATAGAGTCAAGATGTAAACTTACCGGCAGCAAAGTGAAGAATACCGAGTAAAGTGATCAGTGTCACGATCATTTTAAATACAGACTGTGGCGCTTTAAAAACAAACGTGTTGTTGCACGGCTTTAGTGAGACTTGTTTTCCGGGAAATATTTCGCTTCGAAAATTTCGCGCTATGGATGTAACCGGAAGTATCTGTGACTTCCTGTTTATTCCTGAAAACGGTCCGACTTCACAGCAGTTAGTTGTATTTTTTAGTGTGGAGATTGGGACACACAGTTTCTGTTGAAACGGTTTTTAAAATGTTTTAATTAAACTGTGCGGTTATTTATTGTCTACATTTACATCAGTGCAGGTTGACTAAAATAAAAATATTCCGGTTTAATACAATACAGTTTAACAGTAATACAAAAGATACAACATGCAGACTGACTGCAGCACTGTTGTATTAAAACTGCATTTAATTTCACTATGTGTATTCATTTTAGTTCTGTATATCGAGCATTTTGCACAGAAAAGTTTTGTATTATTATTGAATGATGATCAAACAAGTGATTTATTAGGACTTTTCAGTTAATTTAGATCATTTCCCCCCAAATTTAACGTGTGAAACAATGTCAGCTTCAATACTTTAAAATATATATTGTTGGTATTTATGCAGTTTATCCCTCTACAAACGTCAAATCTACACGAGCGCGTATTCATATTTCATAAAATAAACGCACGAGCTGCATCAACACATCTTTATAACTCACATTAATTTAAATAAATAAAAAAATCTTAACTTAGTAACAAAATCCTCGTAAATACGTTTTACCTACAAAGTTCAGTCAAACCCTGTTGCACATTGCTTTATAGAAACTAAGGATTAAAGTGTTTTACCTGAGAGAGACTTTGAGTGAAGCCCTCATGCTCGAGAAGCTGCAAATCGTAACCAGTGTCTCCCTTACAATCATTTCCCGCCGGTTTGGGGTTTCCGGCGGACCTCATTGGCTGAGGAGCTGTGGGCGTTTCCAAAATGTACTTTCTGGCGGGTTTAAGAGTCTGTATGAGTAACACCCACCGTCTCTTCTTCTCTCTCTTTAACTGAACGAGAGACATTTAAAATAGAAACAATCAGAGCTTTCACTACAAAAAAATACAAAAAATGAATTCACTTAAAAAAGTAAACAGAAAAACGAAGATGGAAATTATAAATAACAAAAAAAATTAAATATAAAAAATCTAATGCTTATTTTTTTCTCCCCCTTAGCTTTAGTTACAATTTTTTTTAAAATAAAGTACATTTCATATACCGAGTACTGTATTTAAGTAAAATTCCGAGGAACTTGTACTTTACTTTTCCCATTTTCTGGTACTTTATACTTCTACTTCACTACATTTGAAGCAAATATTGTACTTCTCTCTCCACTAGATTTTACGTTAATAAAAGATATGAACTCATAATAACAAAATAGCTTTACTAAAGACTAAACCAGTGATTATTAACATATAGTTCAAACAGTATTACACTGCGTACACATTCAGTCTGACCTGTGTATTTAATCCTACATCTTTTAAATTACTTGTAAAAAGTGAACTCATATTCATCACTTCACAACTGTTGCTGTGGAAAAAGCCGATAATGAGATAAGTGATCAAATATTTATACATTTTAATGTTTGTATTTTGAGACCGACTTCCAACACTTCCATGTTTCAGTCTGATGTCAAACAAAAACACTTATGTTAGCACACCAATCTGAAAACACCATTATTATTATTATTATTATTATATAGCAGACAAGTTATAAGTACACACGTCTAGTGAACGTTTAAATACTTTGACTTCAGTAAAGGACTAAAGTGTTCCTCAAAGGACACAGACTCATTAAAACAGAAACACGCTGCATCAGGTCCCTTTTTCCCATATTTATTTGAAATTATTCCAAATGATAAAAACATGGTTGATTAACATGAAACGACCACAGGGGTTTATTTTGCTCTTGGAGTGGACAAAGTGAGAGCAGGAGGAGACGCCAGCGTGTCGGGTCACCTGTGTGACAAGCTGAGCAAAACATCCGGGACAGGAAGTGTAGTCCCACTGTTGTGTGATGTCATCACAGTACCCAACAAATGGACTCGTATAGAAACAGGATCCCCAAAAAAATGTCGTCTCGTTGGCAAAATGTCACACATGCGTTGAGCTCGTCGGCCCTCGTTGGTCCGAACATCCAGAGAGAAGCGCTCCAGAGTCACACCAGAGCTCAGCGACTGAACTTTGTTATAATCATTTCTCTTTCCTATATTACAAGCTTTTTACAACATCAAAAATAGATCAACAGCTATGATTACCATATTCCTTAATGTAAATATACAATATTTATTGCATTTTCAAATAAACTTGTTTCTCATATACCTTGTCGTCATCGTCTTTACCCCCTAAAAACGAACAAATGAGACGTACTGGTACCGATGAGAGTGACAACAGACTAGTGTAAGGCAGAGACCAGCAGGGGGCACTGCAGCACCGAGCGTCTCTCTTTCTTCCTCTTAGTGTGAATTTGATGGAATTAGTGTTTTAAAGTAATAAACCTCCATCTGCTTAAACGGTTCTCTGGCACTTATGTGTTCCTCTTTTTTTATAGTATTTTATTTGTTTGGTTAGCTGCTACCAACTACGCTCTGTACAAACTGCTCCTTGCATAGCAATTAAACAACATGTCGTCTTCCTCGGGCCGTTAAAGTCCTTCTATGGAAACAATAAGAAAGTAAAAAGGGGCCACCGGCAGCAAAAGTTAATCGATGGATTCACAACAGAGTTCAGCTTTTAGGTCGACTTCCCCGGACAGGAGGTTGATAAATGATCCCTTATAAACGCCGTGAGACCTGCAGCTATCACACGGTCTTGGTCCAGTAAGCAGAGAATGATTTAGTGGAACCACAGAGTGTTTGGAGGAAGATGATCAGAGTGTGAGTTTAAACGCATCAGAAACATTCGGGATGAAGCTGATCTCAGCGTCTTCTGGCATCATAGGTGCATAAACAAGCGTCATGCACAGTGTCTCAGTTCAGCAGTTGAGCTTCCGTGCAACATGGCCTCAAGATGGAAATATAACCCTCCCCCCCACTATAAAGGAAAGTAGGGGGAGGGGGGCGCAGAAAACAAACAGGAAACAGTTCCTCTCCAAATGTAAAAATAAACGACGAGGCTTCTGTCAGAACTTGGCGAGCTTTGCAGTTTGCAGAATATGAAAACATCTCAATTGAATATGTATGTATGTATGTATATATACATACATACATACATACATATATATATATTTGACTCCACCCAGTTTTGGCACACTTGACACACAGAGTTGATTCAAACACACCCTCACCTGGCACTCCTGGAATGGCTATTTAAGACAAAATACAACTAAAATAAAAAATAATAACCATCATCACCCCCCTCCTCTCTCTCACACACACACACACACACACACACACACACACACACACACACACAC